ACTCAGTGATAAAATCATATGCATACTCTCTGTCATGACCCGGAATTTCCACCATTGGGACCGTGATGGCGCCTAACATCGCACTCCCAAGCAAGCCAACGTTAGAGTTTTATTCACCTTTTTGCTTTACATTTCATAAATTAAAATTAACAAAACTAAATCAAGTTGAAATAATATGGAAGTACGTAAATAACCTGTTATCTATATACTATTAATAATATCATAACTGTTACTACCCAGAATCTGGTGTCACAATCCACGTACATACTATGAATTACTACATATATCGGTCTGAAAGAAATTACATCTGTTGGAAACAAAAGAAAACAGAAATGTAGAATTGTAGAAGGGGACAGTCAGGGCCTGCGAACGCCAACAGGACTACCTTGGGTCTCCAAACTGTGAACCTGCAGCCAATCTCTCAATCAGCCACTACCTGCTCTGAAATCTGCACAGAAAGTGCAGAGTACAGTATCAGTACAACCGACCCCATGTACTGGTAAGTGTCGAGCCTAACCTCGACGAGGTAGTGACGAGGCTACGACAGGGCAATTACAATATAACCTGCATACAGTATATAATAAAGCGAAAAAGAAGTACGGGACAAAATAAAACAGTAACTTGCTGCAAAAATGAATACGGAACTCAAATATCTTATCAGTACCCAGCTATAACCAATCCTTAAGTGAGATACAAAACTGCTGAATAAATTCACAGCAGAAGAAGGATACATAAACAATAAACTGATGCGGCACGCATCCCGATCCCACCATATAATTAGTAACAATATGAACATTCATTACTCCGTATCAATCCACCCTTATTCCTCCTGTTGCGGCGTGCAACTCGATCTCACCATACAATAACAATCCATCCTAATTACTCCTCATTATATCACCCTTATTTTTCTTGTTGCGGCGCGCAACCCGATCCCACCAAATAATCTTATTTTTACCTAAGGGTGTCTAACGGGTGGGCCGGGCCGGGCTGGGTAGGCAAAATTTGGAACCGTACGGGTTGGGAACCGGGCCGGTTACGGGTTAAGGCTTACCGGGTTTAACGGGTTCGGGTTCATCCGGGTAAAAAATGAACCGTAAAGGTTACGGGTACAAGGGGCCGGGTCGGGCCGGGTTAGTGTAATTTCAAAATTTTTTTTCTTGTATTTTGTATAGCAATTTTAATTTATATTAATATAAAGAAAAAATATAAATAATACAATGAAGATGGAAAAATTGCACTTATAAATTGCAAGTGCTACATTTATTTCAAAATTACAAAATTGAAGTTTGCATTTAACAAGTAGATTAACGAAAAAAGAGTAAAACTAAATTTTCATACATAATAATACTTCAAATTAATCTAATAAACTAAAACATTAAGCATAAAATACGTCTAATAATTTTAAAATAACACAAATTGTCTCAAATCAACTTAAATACGAATTTCTGGAGGACGCTCAAGACAACTCTTCATATGCCTCCTTAAAGAGCCTGTGCCACACTTTGGACGAAGATTTAAGACTCGACCACAGTTCTTGCACTTTACTTTCTGAACTTCTTCATTTTCTTCTACCACCTCAAAGTGTTCCCAAACATATGAGCGCACTCTAGAAGTACGGGGCATGATTTAACTTGAATTGAGAATTTGAGTTTGAGAAATGAGAGATGAGTGAAGAAATGAAGAAGAGGGGGGTGTATTTATAGTTTTTCAAAGGGCTAATTAGGTAATTACAAAAGGTATTTATTTATTTTTTTAAAAAGCCCAAAAATGGGCTATTTGTGCAAATCTGCCGTTGGGCAACGGCCCCAAGGCCAGAAGACTATTGCCAAAAGTCAGAAAAAGGCAGGACCCATTATAAAAAAAAAATTAATGCAGCCATTCCGGTTCGGGCCGGTTAACTGGTTCTACAGTAAAAATCGTTGACCGGGTTTGACCGGGCCGGTTAACCGGTAGCCCCAAGTGAACGGACCAACCCCCTTACCCCATTAACCCAGCCCACCCGGCCCCCTTTGTACCGGTCTGGGCCGGTTCCAGTTTCAACCGGTCTAGACCGGTCCGAAAACGGGCTGACCCGGCCTGGTAGACACCCTTAATTTCACCCTTTTTCCTCCTCAATATATCACCCTTATTGCTCATGTAGCGGCGTGCAACCCGATCTCACCATATCAGTACCAATCACAAAATAAGAACAGAAATTTCACAATTTGACTCAAACTCCTCATGGTATTTAACCTCAACTCAAACAAACGGATAACGATAAAATTATGAAACTTCACTTGAATTATGTTACTCAGCGAAACCAATCCAAAGTATACTAACAAACACTGATAGCCAGCTCAAACCAATAATATGAATTAGTGAAACCACATAACATCCAATACTTTTGAAACCGAAAACAATAGCCGACAAGTAGCAACTAAACATGGAAATATCAAATAAACAGGTAGCAGTTAAGGCAGGGAACAATATATTAAGAACGGGAAGGGGACAGTCAAAAACAGATACATTGGCGGCGCATAGGTACTCGTCACCTCACCTATACGTCACACACATGGATTTCAACATAGCAATTATGTCGGGCATCCCTAATCCCTCGAGTCAAAGTTAGACACAACACTTACCTTGATCTACAGGCCACTCACTGCTCAATTACCGTTTTTCCTCTAGTTTCCACCTCTGAACCACTCGTATCTAGTCATAACTAACTCAATAACATCAAATATAGCTAAAGAAATAAATTCCAATACATAATTATAAGTTTTCCAACATTTCCCCCAAAAAGTCAAAAACCAACCCCGGGCTCGCTTGGTCAAAACTCGAGGTTCGGACCAAAACTCATTCACCCATTCACCCCCGAGCCCAAATATGTAATTATTTTCGGAATCCAACCCCAAATCGAGGTCTAAATCCCCAAATTTGAAAAATCCCCAATTCTCCTAAAATCCCTAATTTTCTACCCTTAAAAACAAGATTTAAGACTAGAAATCTAATAGATGTTGATGGAAATTGAAGGAAATGAGTCAAAGAACACAAACCTATGATCTGGTGTTAAATTCCCTCTTCAAAAATTGCCCTAGGTTGAGTTCTAATGGAAGAGATATGAAATTTTGAACCATTCCCGTTTTGAAGTCTGTTTTTAAGACACTGGACAGGTCCTCTTCGCATTTGCGAGAAGCCTATCGCGATCGCGAAGCTACGGCCCTGATGGCCTACGCGTTTGCGAGTTACCATACGCGTTCGTGAAGGCATACTCCCCCCAACCTCCGCGTTCGCGAGCCAAATGTCGCGTTCGCGTAGAGTAAGCTTCCTCTCCCCCAGGTCCCAATGCTTCGCATTCACGATAGCCTGGTCACGTTCGCGAAGGGTAATGCCCCCAATGCTCCGCATTCGTGACAAGTACTTCGCGTTCGCGTAGAAGGAATTCTCCTACAAGCCAACTTACTCTTCATGTTTGCGAGAGTCCCTTCGCTAACGCGAAGAAGAAGATACCAGATGACAGCTGAAGCCAAAAACACCAAATTTTTCAAGTCTAAAACATCCCGTAGCCTATCCGAAACTCACCCGAGCCCTCGGGGCTCCAAGTCAAACATGCACACAAGTCAAAAAACATCACACAAACTTGCTCGCGCGATCAAATCGCCAAAATAATACCTAGAACTATGAATTTGGCACCAAATTGCATGAAATTTTCAAGAAAGTTTTAAAAATTCTATTATCTCAATCAAAGGTCCGGATCACGACAAGTCAGTCCCGTTTCTCACCAAATTTCACAGATAAGGTATAAATATCATAACGGACCTGTTTCGGGCTCCGGAACCAAAATACAGACCCGGTACCAACAAGATCAAATATTAACCAAATTCTTAAAACCATTATAATTTCAGTCTTACAATTTTCGTCAAAAATTCATTTCTCGGGCTAGGGACCTTTGAATTCGATTCCGGGAAAACGCCCAGGTCCCATATTTTACTACGGACCCATCGGGACAGTCAAAAAACGGGTCCATATTCGGTTCTGTTTACTCAAAACGTTGACCTAAGTCAACTAAAATTAACTTTTTAGGCCAAAAATTATTATTTCATCAATTTTCCACATAAAAGCTTTCCGGAAATGCGCCCGAACTACGCATGCAAATCGAGGAGGAATAAAATGAGGTTTTTAAGGCCTTGGAACACGGGATCGAGTTCTAAAACATAAGATGACCTTTTGGGTCATCACACTCTTAGAGTATCAATTCACTCAGTCCTCCCAGTCACTAAGTCCTTACAGCCACTCAGTCCTCACAGTCACTCAGTTCTCACAGCCACTCAATCCTCACAGTCTTTCAATCCTCCCAATTACTCAACAACGCTAAGTAGGTACCTGCGCTCACTTGGGGTGTGTACAGACTCCGGAGGGGCTCCTTCAACCCAAGCGCTATAATAAGCCAATCATGGAATAAATCAATAAAACATGTTGCGGCGTGCAGCCCGATCCCATAAACATCCTCACCATTAAGCCATCGGCCTCACTCAGTTATCAATCTCTCCAGTCTCTCAGGCTCTCAATGTCATGAAAAATCAGCCCAAAAATAATGATGTGATGTATCAACAAATGGTAACAAAGACTAAGATATGATATGCATATGAATGCGTATGTCTAAGTATGTAACGCAATCTAAGTAGATCACTCAACCGCAGAAATGACCTCAGTGGGTCCCAACAGGATAAGCATGTAGCTTAGACGTGATTTGATAGGTTTCGGCGTCGAATGAAGAAGTTTGAAATTCTAAAGTTCATTAAGCTCGAATTGGAGGGCGATTCATGATTTTAGCATTGTTTGATGTGATTTGAGGCTTCTAGTAGGTCCGCGTTATGTTATAGGACTGGTTGGTGTGATTGGACGGGGTCCCGGGGGCCTCGAGTGGATTCCGGGTGGTTAACGGATCGAATTGGAGTTGGTAGGAAGAGCTGAAGCCTATTGTCATCTGGTGTAACCCACCTGCGAGGTCATGGTTGCAGGTGTGGAGCCGCAGAAGCGGCCAAAGGAGCGCATATGCGGTTGAGAAGGGAGAAGGCTGGGACAGCAGATGATGTCATCTTGCCGCAGAAGCGGGACCGCACCTGCGGAAGGAGAAGCGCAGAAGAGGAATGAGGAGGCCTGGTGAAGGACCGCAGATGCGGTAGTGGGGCCGCACTTGCGGAACCGCAGAAGCGGTCAAATGACCGCAGGTGCGGAAAGAATGGAGGCAGTGTGTTCTTTTAAAATCGGGAAATTGGCCATTTTTCTCCCATTTTCATTTGGTGTGGGCGATTTTGGAGAGCTCCAAGGGGATATATTCTTCAAGTGTCACAAGGTAAGTTGTTCCCACTCATTACAAGTTAAATACATGATTTAGATACGGATTAAAGTATGGAAATTTGTAGAAATTTGGGGTTTGAGGAAAACCCTAAAAAATTGGTATCTTTGGATTTTGACCACGATTTTGGAGATGAAATTGAGATTAAATTGTACATTCGAGTTCGTGAGGTTGTGGGAAAACTTTATCTTCGAAAATTTTCGGAATCCGGGCACGTGGGCTTGAGGGCGGTTTTTGTTAACTTTTCGATCGGGGTTAGAAATTGTTATAAATTGGATTATTATGAGTAATTGAGCATATATTAATGGGTTTGCATAATTATTGGCTAGTTTTGGAGCGTTATGCATCGATTTGAGTCTTCGCTAGGGCGTGGAATGCCGATTATGGAACTTCGGAGCGAGGTAAGTCTCCTTTCAACCGTGTAAGAGGGAATTGTCCCCATAGGTGAATTAATTGGATATGTGCTCCTATTTGTGGGGCTACGTATGCACGAGGTGACGAGAGTCTGTGCATAGCTACTATTATGCTTAAGTCCGGGTATACTAGGACCCAAAAGCATGCTTTACTTGAAATAATTGTAACCTTATTGACAGTTTAAATTGTTTTAATCATATCGAAGTGATAAATGATTTTCTAAAGGAGTTAAACTTCGTTTTCGCGACTTGTAAAAGAGAAATTGACACCTCCTTGAATAATGATTTCCTTGATGAGGTCTTGATTAACTGTTTGAATGTGTGTTTCTATGTGTACCTGCGTCGTATGTATGATTCGCGAGCGGGGTGATTGTTTATTTATATTTGATCGCGTCGCATGTATGATTCACGAGCGGGGTAATAGATGCATCTATGGTTCGCCCCATTCAACCCTCTGGCAATGCACAGTTTAAATATTTGTTGGATCGGGCCGTACGACCTCGGCATGATTTCGCATGCTTGTATTGCTTGCCTTGAAATTCACAGATGTTGATATTTGTTTCTCCCTGGCCTGAGATAAATGTATAAATGATGAAAATGAATTTGGGAATTTCCTATAAATGAAAGAAATGTTTACTTGCCTCATGCAATTGAGTTACAGCCATTTATATAAAAATCCTCGATTTACTATATTAATGGTATAATATTATTGGACCACTAGTAAGTGTCGAAGTCGACCTCTCGTCTCTACTTCTTCGAGATTAGACGGGATACTTACTGAGTACACATTGTTTTTGTACTCATGCTACACTTGCCGTGTATTTTTGTTGCACAGGCACGTGTACCTCTAGAGGCCTGATGGGCGTAACAACATGGATGATACGGAGACTTAGGTGAGCTGCATCTCTCGAGGCGACCCGCAGCCAGCATAGTCTCTTTCAGTGTATTGTATTTACTTTCTGTCCAAATTTGTATTCCGAACAGATATTGTACTTCATTTGATTTCCTAGTGATTGCTCATGCACTTATGACTCCGGGTTCTGAGATGATTTCGGGATTATTCAGTAAAATAAATTTTGTAAAGACATCATTATTTATTCAGTGAAGTTTATTATTCAGTGTTTAATGTTTAGAAGAAATGATTTTGAAAATATTGAAACAAAAATTTACTAGTTATATGGTGTTGGCTTGCCTGATAGTGGTGTCCGGTGTCATCACAACCCTTAGTGGATTTTGGGTCGTGACAGAGAAACTTTTACTTATTAAAAATTTACTAAACTTTTACTTATTAAATATTTCCTTATTTGAAGTATGTAAAGCTCCTAAAATTTAGAATTTTGAGTGCAGCAGAGAATTTGCTATTTTTCTCTCCTAAGAGTGTTACTATCTCATGTTAAAAGTTAAACTTTTAGTGTAATTATTTAGAATACGTAATATTAAGCATGTTAAAATTTACAATATTAGATATCAAACTCTTTGCACACGAGATTTCTTAGTTCATCTAATGTTAAGCGCGTTGTAAGTTATTTGTTATTTTTTTACGTGATTATTTTTTATTATTGTATATGGTGGAAATCGGAGTGTCGATTTCGACGACTGGATTACACTCTGAGTCCGAGTTCTGGAAGCTCGAAGTAAGAATCAAGCCCGGCCCGGATGAGCGCACCTCGAAAAGCAAATCGGGGACCCGTCATGATCTGCCTCGAGGGCAGTACAATTTCGAGGGCACTCAAGAAAGAGCAGGAATTTCTCAAGGACACGTGGGTCAGGGCATGAATTACAGGATAGGATTTGTACGAAATGGTACAAGTTCGTACTAGGTTGTTATACAGCTGTACCAATAGAATTCTTTGTCATAATTGGAAATGTACTATATCAGGGTATTCCTTTTCTATATAAAGGGGACCCCAATCTTTGTAAAAAGAATCTCATTCTCTGCAATAGAACATTCTACTCTGCTTTTTTTGTTTACCGTGCTCAACAATTGTTCTTCAATTTTATTGTCTTTACTTTATTGTTCATACTTTATTGCTCTTAGCTCACCTCGAGGCCCCTAAGATAATCGAGCTCGAGGTCCTTATTACTTTAACAACAATGGTTTGGTTCATCAATTCTTCTTATTTAAACTTAATATTATTTGTACATTCACTAGTATTAGAATAAATCACATATCTTTAAAACCACAAATCATATTTAATTGTTACTCACGTTTTTCGAGATAAACAGTTTGGCGCCCACCATGGGGCTAAAGATAATAGTGATTATTTTAGTGCTAGTTTTCTGGTAACATATGTTATTCTTCACACTTTTTCTTGGAAAAGATTCTTTGATTTCAGGCTAAGATATGTCTAGCACACAAAAAGCACCTGCTCATGACAGTGAGGGACTCGGAGAAAATAGTGGTATGGTGTACCACCCATAAACCTTGAGAGAGTGCCAAATATGGAGCCAGTTGATATCAGTTCGCATAACACTCTAAACACCGACGCAGGCACAGACCCCGTAAGGAATGCACACAGGGAGGCTCGGCCAGGGGACCAAGGAACGCCAGGAATGGAAAAGGGGGAGTCAGCCTCCAAGTGATATTCGAGATGCTAGAAGCTCAGCAAGTCCCCATCGCTCAACTTCAGAGTCAGAATAGAACTCCAAACACAGCCGAACCAGCAAACACTCGGCGTGGTGAACCAACGCTAGAAAGGCCCGATGAAAATGGCTCGGGGGCTGACCCCGCTATTATTAAAATTCTTGAAGAACTAACCAAAAGAATCGAGTTCGGAGAAAAGAAAATTGAAGAAAATGACAAAAAGGTGGAGACATACAATTCAAGGGTCGACCAGATACCAGGAGCACCTCCCATTTTGAAAGGACTGGACTCGAAAAAATTCATGCAAAAACCTTTTCCCCCAAGTGCGGCTCCAATGCCCATTCCCAAGAAGTTTCCCATGCCCGATATACCGAAATATAATGGAACAACTGACCCTAACGAACATATTACTTCATGCACTTGTAGAATCAAAGTAAATGACTTGAACGACGATGAAATCGAGTCAGTACTATTGAAAAAGTTTGGGGAAACACTATCAAAATGTAACGACCCGGCCGGTCGTTTCATGAGTTACAACCCTGTTTCCCCCATTTCTGCCCCTTGATGTGTTTTTCAGTTGTATTGGATCATATCGTGTTAGTTTTGTTGTGTTCGGAGCGGTCTTAGAGTGGAATGAGACACTTAGTCTCTTAAGTTGGCCTTTTAGTTGGAAAAATCAACGGAAGTTGACTTGTGGGTAAATGATCTCGGAATTGGGTTTTTATGGTTTGGATAGCTTCGTTAGGTGATTTGGGACTTAGGAGCGTGATCAGAATGTAATTGGAGGTTCGTGGTAGATTTAGGCTTGAATTGACAAAATTAGAATTTTGGCGTTTTCCGGTTGGTAGTGAAAATCTTGATATCGGGGTCGGATTGGAATTTTGGAAATTGGAGTAGGTCCGTTGTGTTATTTGTGACGTGTGTGCAAAATTTCAGGTCATTCAGATGAGGTTTGATAGGTTTTTATATCATTTGTGGAATTCAGAAGTTTTGGGATCCTTAGGCTTGAATTCGATGGTGATTTGATGCTTTGGTGTTGTTTTGAGTTTTCTAAAGGTTGGAACGAGTTTGAATGGTGATAGGTGACTTGTTGGATTGTTTGGTTGGGGTCCCGAGGGCCTCGGGTGTGTTTCGGATGCTCAACGGGTCATTTTTGGACTTGAAAGGTTAGTAGATTTTGCTGGTATTTTGTTGCAGAAGATTTGTTCTTCGCGTTCGCGAAAATTTTCCCACGTTCGCATAGAAGAGCTTGGTCAGGGGGTGAAGATTCTCTTCGCGTTCACGAGTAAGGGGACGCGTTCGCGTAGGTTTGGGTCTCTAGTGAATCGCGGACGCGTGGGTGGCGTCGCGTTCGCGTAGGGTAGTTGGAGCAGCTGGGACCCCGGGAATTTGTTCATCGCGTTCGCGTAGGAAGGATCGCGTTCGCAAAGGCTCTGGCAGCTGAAGCTTCGTGTTCGCGGGAAGGAGCTCGCGTTCACAAAAGAGGAAAGAGTGAGCAGTGGAGTTTTGTTCTACGCGAACACGAGGAGGATGTCGCATTCGCGATGAAGGTCGCATGTGGGCAGAATCTTAAGTTCAAAAATGAGGGTGTTAGGCCATAATTTCAAAACTCATTAGAGAGCTCGGGAGAAGGCGAATTTAGAGGGGATTTTCAAAGGAGTGATTGGGGTAAGTGTTCTTCACTTGTTTTTGGTTGAATTCCATGATTATGTCTTGATTCTTATCATTTAATTTGGGAATTTGGGGTGAAAATTGGGGAAAATGGAAGAAAATTTGGAGAGTGGATTTTTGGGATTTG